TGAGATGCCGAAATAATTGTGTTGAGCATTTTTTGAAAATTTGAATTACATTGTTTTACTTGAAAGTAAAACAAGATTGATAAGAAATGAAATTTATTAAAGACGGAACATTTTCAACACCTTCATCTAATAAATCGTTCATTTCTCCGACCATTTTTTATAGCCTTTGCTTACTTTAGAAAGTTTCAAAGGTCATCCACTTTCAATATACTGTTCTGAGGTGTTACCACCAAAAGAACTTATTCAAAAGCTACCTCAAAAACTTTCGCATTGAGACTAATCAATGTGGATTTTATGTACTTGGTGGCAATTTTGTGCTTCGACTTCGTCGAGGAGAATATTTTCATTTCGTCACCTGCATCATATATGCAAAATAAGTGTCTGGCAAAGTTACGATAAGAGTACAATACATTTTCATAAACTTATAATCCTTCTTGTCACACACTACGTACACATATATGAACTTTATTAGGTTGTTATGTGCTATATGTGCGCAAGTATTTTTTTACTTGTACTGCATACGGATCGCGTGAGAGTTCAGAGGGCATAAGTATTTTCAAAGTATCAAAGTACGTTGTGAATAATCGCAACGAGCTTTCATCACTGGTGTTGTACGTGTAATTGTAATAAAATGATGTCAACATGTCACTGAAGACGGAATTCACATTGTTGTTGAGCGAAAAATGTGTTGAACAAGGAATTTTTAATGATGTGATACAGAGGAGTTTATTCGCATGACTAAGCGTATTACTTTCTGCTGGCACTTTATTGGGTACTTGAAATAAGAGCACGAATGCTAAGCAGCTGAGCCGATGCCTGAGAAAAAAACCTATCGAATTTCTTACATCCAAAGTAATTGGTGGTAATTTCATTTTAATCGTTACATTAACAACATTTACGATTGTTACCATCGCCGTTGTAGTCGTTAGTTCAAAACATAATTGTCTTTTCATGAACTCATGTTCTAAATGAAAATTGATTTGACGTGAAACAATTCCACTTCAATTATAAACAATCGAAATCATTTAATTACGCAATTCTATACGCTCGAAAACATCGTGAAATCATTTTCCTGTCTTACGTCTGTTACAGTTTTTTGATAGAAAAAAGTCACTCCTTCCTGCCACTTCATTTAAAGTTATTGAAATGAAAAATTGAAATCACAAAATGAAATCAGCAGTTCGAAAGTGCTGCACCCGCATTGACAACAGTTGTGATGTCACATAGAGTAATCGATAAATTTTCTACACGACTTTGCGTCATGTCTGATGAATAAAATTTGCACGTGTACGCGTCGTTTTTCCCATGAAATATTAAAAAAGCACACTTGGTTGGAGATTGTATTTGACTCATGACTACCGAGGATGAGAATATTAGTATTGTTTTATGTCTTCTAATATAATCGAATTTGTTGGACAGTTTCATTTTCGTGTCGATAAAGCATACACACAAATCTTCAAAAGCATAAAATTAAAATTTTTTTTTTTTTTTTTATTGAATTAAAATTGGAGGCAATACAACGCTACAACATATAAAATTTATTTAAACATGCCTTTCATAATAAGAAAAGTCTTCGTTCGACACACAAATCTCATACTGTCGATGAGTTACCTTGAATTGACGACGACAGTAAGATAAAGACCAAGCGTAAACAGAAAACAAAAATCATTCATTATTAATTTATGTAAAAACATGAGGATTTATGTTGACTTTTCTCCGTACACATTTTCTGTGCCAAAACGCATTGATTTAAGATTTCTTTGCGCCACGGTTTCAAATATATATATGTGTAATGTTGTTCGTCCCTGATCGAAAGATTCGCTGTAATGTCAATGTAATGTGATTTATTTCATCTGTATCCAAACTTGAATTATTATTGTTTTTAAGCAATATCAGCAGAAAGATGTGAGCGAGTTTGGACAGAGAAAAAAGCTTTTTTTTTGTGGATAAAATAGATTATGGTTACGATAAAAGCGGAAGTATGTCCAAATACGTGATTTTTGCACCTGTTATTATATCAATAAACCCATGACAGCGGCAATGTCACATATTTCCCATTTTTGCCAATGAACGTTTTTATATGCTCAAGTTTATGACTAGAACTATGATTTATTTGCGGATTGCGTATTATCTAAATGCCATCATTTAGGTAAAGTATGATAAACACCTGCGATCAACGCATCGCAACTCACATGTACTTTCAGTCCGACAAAAACATTTCTCATCAGCCAGAGGCTGATTTTACACGTTCCCCGTTCACTGTTTGTACTTAATAATATAATTTATGCCACTTGATCGATAAATTGCTTTCTCGCTTTTACGAGCCAAGTCTCTGCAGGCAACATACAACGAACTGTGATAAAACTTTAACTTTGCAACAAAACGAAATAGCGACCATATAACATTTTATCTATATATATGAAATGGACATCTACCATTTATGAACGAAAATTAAATTTCGTTCCATTTGCGTCAGAATATTTTAGGAATCTCTCTATCTCTATGTGCGTGTAAAGTGGGCGTTATTTTTATTCCAATCAACTGCCTTCTGCCAAAATAATTAGGTTAGGACCTCGTTAAATGTGTCGTAATTTCAGATGCATTGAGACGCTCGGTGAACCTTGTAATGTTTGGTGTGATTGAAAAAGTCTAAAATTGAAATAATATTGGTAAAATCGAAAAAAATTCCAGAGCAATGATAAAATAAATGTCATAAATTTCAACAATCAATACGTATTACCGTTATAAATCTGGCCTGCTTTCATCCCAATTTATTGGTTCGTTTCAATTGAATTGCCAAACAAAAAATTATGCAGCACATTTATTCATACACATTTAAATCAATTCGAATTTATATCGACATTAAATGAATAAAATACACTTAATCAAAAGTGAATACATATTCACGGTCTCTAACCGAATACGGTGAAGGCTAACGTCGATGCCAAATGACAATTGAAACAAAAAAAAGTGATTGTGTGGAATAAAGTTCGGCGCCTTTTTCTCATTATTTTTGTGTTTGCCTACATGAGGTTAATTCGGGAGGCTTTTCAGATATTCGCTATTTATTTAACGTTGAAAATTCTTAAAATGTTATTTATCACACGCATATGTACACATACGTACTTTGCGAATGGATTCGATGTTTTTACGATGGCATAAAATTGTATGAAGTTTATTGTGAAGTGAATATAACAGTGAAAGCATCGCACCTCGGTTCAGATGTAAGCTTTCATTTCTCCTTATCTCATAAAATCGAATAAAGAGGTAAATGTAAATTCTCAAGGCAAAGCCGTTGCTGAAACGTTCTGCACTACTCAACTATTGACATTATGAGATAGCTGCGAGCACAATGTTTACATTGTAAAACGACGAATGAACGCTATACGCACCTAATAAAAGGCTTTCAGACGAATAGAATTCTAATTCTGTTAACTCAGTTCTTTTTTTTCTCCATCATTTTGTGTGTTTGTGTGTGTGTCTGTTTCTTTCCAAATACATACAACTCACACATATGTGCACACGCATGCACACAAATGACTTATTTATAAAATGTATCCGTTTGAATAGAGCGGGCTTTTCAGAATATGTGCGTGACGTCATTGGCATGGAAACAGCACAAGTGGAAGAGAAAACAAGAATATGTACTATGCCATGTATGTGTATATGTATAGACTGTAGCAGCCCCAAGCGAATGTGTTTTATGTATCCGGGATGACAGCTACGTTCAAAACACTCTTGAATTAGCGAACGTTAATCAAAGGACAGAGAAAAAATAACGACAGTGTGTTAACGTGTATACGAGCCTCTGTGTGTGAGTTTCAGTTTCCGAGCTCGATACATTCGAACACATATTGTGCACAACTTGAAACCCAGTCTTCCTCTTTCGTGTTGGCCACATCTATTGTTATTGTGAACGAACGGTACTTTTTTTGTTGTTGTTGCTTTATTCTCCCCTTTTCACTCCCCATTTTCTTTCTGTTCTATTTGATGGTTTTTCAAACTGAAATTCCATTTCGTCGAGAACGTTTGACTGTTAGAGTCTCAAGCGCCCGTAATAAAAATGCTTAACATGGTCTTCACTCGTTGTTGATTCATTCCCTTTCCATTCGTTGTTGATACACTTTTTATTCAATGTTATTCGACGCAAAACTGTTCAAACAAACAGCAAAAAAAATACAGCTGAACGGAAAAAAAAGAAATATACATACGAACAAGCAAATGCAATAAGATTGAAATATGTTGTAAGTGATCTATATCGAAACGAAATGACTTTTTATTTATTTATTCATTCCATTTCATTCCCGTTTTTTTCTTCAAGAAAGCAAATGTCTTAAATCGATTATAAAAGATGAAAAAAAAAGAGAAAACGAAATGTAAGCAATCTTTAAAAATAGCAAATAGAGTGCAAGCTTCTTTCACTTTGTTAAACGTTCGAGAAAGAAAAATGTCTCGATATATTTACAAAACTTATGTTTAATTTGGCGCAAAAATGACAAGGTTTCGATTCGGCATGTCTTCGATTCGAATCGAAACACACATGCGATAGGTATATGTGTGATGTATAGAACTGTATGTGGTGACATTGTACGCCTATCGAAAATCGTTTGCAAAACTTTCCATCACATTGTGTCCCATTGTTGCCGACTGTCTCTTCATTTCCGTCATACTATTTGCAGTTCTTTCATTTTTTTTTTCTATTTCCGTTAGCAACCTTTCAACCTTTTTTCGAGTCTTATTATTTATTTTCGGTGAGCATAATATATTGTGTGTATTTAGAGCCTTTTATTGACTCAGTTTATAACCTTATCGTACCGTTCTGGTACGAATTTGAATAAATGCCAAATATAAATTGCATGCAGATCGATTAATACACATATATTATATTTAAATTTAGAAGTGGATCGATTTTACAACGAAACGCTTTTACTTATTATCAAACAATATTGTCTAATTTTAAGTCTTCTTTTATTCCTTCTTGCTGCTATTTGTGGAATTAGAGTTGTTAAATTCAGGTGAGTGTAAAAAATGTGCAGACAGTAGACATTTATATGGGTGTTGATCCAGAAGTAAGCTTTTTATAGAACCATATGGTCGCCAAATGGGATTGAACGATACCAAATTGGAGTAATAGAACATCGATTTTATTTTGCATCGCATAAATGTTAGTGAGAATATAAATCAAACTATCACTGAACAAAATGCATACGTAATCAAATTGTCGTCAACATCATGTTGTGTCCTAACCGACATTATGTTGCTGCCGGCGATGTGTTTTTTTTTGTTTTGTTTTGTTTTGTTGGGTTTTAAGCTTTTTTGAGCCAATGCCTCAGTGACAATAACGTTTTCCGTTTATTTATGATAACAGCATTTTATGCATAGAGACAACCTTTGTTGGTTCACGTGGTGCACTGCGGCGACGGCATCTATAATAAGCACAAAAAGACTTTTACTTGCTTAGATATTCAGATCGTATAGGAACATTGTTGGCCACATACATCCATATGGAATATGGCAAAGCGAAAATAAAATAAAACCAAATGAACAATGAAAATGGGAATATATTATTATTCGAAAATCGTAAAAACGAATCGCTTTATATGTGTAATAGAGTTGGATCGTTTATTGCACGCTTTTCTTTTCGCCGAATGACTCCTACCGTGAATTTTTAAAGCGTTTATCCATATTACTTCGTATCCCCAAATCACATGCATGTGCCTGTATACGATAGATGCAGATGTGTTTTATATATGAATATACGGCCTGCTTGCCTGCCGGTTGTGTCATATAATATCGTCACACTCACAAAACGGAAATATCTCACACATGCAAATGAACGTTTTCCAAATGGCACAAAGGGTCTAACAAACCGATGGCAAAATCTCGTGTTGCAAGAGAAAATCTTCATTTATTTGCACAAGAAAGAGGCCACTTTTGCAGTGCACGAAGTCAAGTATGCCATCAAAAAAAATACAATTCCAAATCTAGAGGGTCATTTCGAAATGCTGTTGAACCATTTTTTTAAAGTGAAGTTGCTCTCTATAAAATGTTTTAAACTCTCAGTTCTTTCAGAGAGATATACATCAAGGATACTTATGTGTGTAATAAAAACATGTAAAATCGGAAATATGGGAATTTTAAATCAACTTCTTTTTTCAAACTAAATGTGCAAAAACTGACTATATATGGGCCATTCATTCAAGAGTCGACTCTCTCAATTAAGGTTTTAAATCCATTGCCCTATTTCAAAAACCAAAAGGATTGTTTTTTTAATACATTCAATGCAGAAAAAGTACAGATTTTTCAAACAAACAAACATTATTGCACGGAAATTAGCAAAGAAAATCTCAACTTGCACAGGACAAAAAGCCTGTTTGGTATAGCCGCTGATAAAATAGGAAATATGTTTTCATTACCTGCAATATAGTATAATTACTGATTAGTTCCTGAGCACTCTGAAAAGCGGACAGCATTATGTGAAATTGACATGTAATGAAAATAAATGTTTTCACAGATAACGACAAAAAAATCGTTTGCTAAAATATTCTGTTTACCATTTTTTTTGTCCATGCATTTTAAAAGGTTTACGCAAATTAATTACTTTTTCTCCCTTTTCAACTGTTCAATTAATGATGATGCTTTTGTTTCATTTGCATAAACTAATTGATTTTTTGGAATAGAAAAAACGCATAAGCTTCCTGCCTACAACGAGAATGGTTCGTGATATAGGGCTAAAACACTTACCCAGTTACCTCTTTAATAAAGAAAGTGTTCTAACTCTTTTATTATTCATTAAATTTTTTCTTGATTAATGACATTATACCATATTGATTCGATTTTGGCTGCGAAATTCTTAAAAGATCCTTTAACCGTTACACAAAAATACTTTCAAGACATTAATTTTTATTTTGACGTCGTGCGTAGAATGGCGAAAAAGTTAAAACAACAACGACATCAACAGGCTGTTATTCAAATTGACTTTTAATATGAAGAGATTGGCATATTGATGATTGGTTCCATTAGCTTTTGTTGACGCACACCGTTATTTATTCATGATAATGTTGCGGCACAAAGTTCATCGCACATACAAAGAGACAGAGCAAGAAAGAAAGTTTCGAAACGGTAATTTTTGGTAAACATCCAAACCAATGTGCATTCATTTATTCATGCATTGAAAACTAACACATGAAACATTCGACTGTACCGACAAATATTCATCGATGTAGAGTATTCCGGTATAAATTATTTACGCGCTATTACAGCAATGTGTGTGCTTGTGTGTGTTTTAATGTTCAAAGCGTTTCAAAGAGATCGTATTCCTGTGCCAACATTTGAGCAACTTGAACATACTTTGCCAAATAATGATATCAAATATCATTGATGCTGTTGTTCAATTTAACTTGCTAACCATTTTTTCCCCATCTAAACGCATTTCACAGAATGGTGGATACTCTCCAAATATTGTTCGTTGCTTGTATGGATGTATCACCTGTCGAATGCCATAAGAAATACAAGTTATGTGTCTGTCTCAATATACATATGATGCATGCGATTGTAAAACGTTGGCACACACCTTCGTTTATAAATATTGTATATCACCTGTTGATCATATCATTTTTCGTTCTATATTCACGGAGAGAGAGAGTGATAGAACGAAGGCCAGAAGCTTTTCCCTTTATTCTGCTACGGTTTTTGCGTTTTTCCGCTTTGCTATTATCGCATGTGTTTTCATTTCAATCGTGACAGTATTCGATCCTTAAAGGTGTGGTAAAAAGATGAGGGTCTTTGATATGCATTTACCATTCGTGTATATTTGAATGTCGAAGGAAATTGGCATGATAGCGGCTTCGAATGATGATGATGTTGATGAAAATATTGTGTACATAATATTCCGTTACAATTTTCCAATAAATTTGCGAAAACACGCTCGAATATTGACTCACTTACACCCATCCGTAAAAATTTGTCATATGACATCGCGAACGAGCACACAGTCGTTTTTCATTTGCAGTCAACTAGAATTTACTGTGTACATTATGCATATCGAATCATTGGCGGTGGCTGTTGTTGCCAGTATCAACTGCTTTTGCAATACACAGTATTTGCCATGGCATGAAAATTGTGAATCATCCGAAATGTACGGCAACAAGCAACACCATTCGACTTTGTTTGCCACTATTAACAACATAACCATGAACAACACCACTACAATTTACCGCATCGACATGGAAAACGGCACAGTAAATTTCTGACGACAAGCGGCATTAGTCATTTATGTTATTGCAACGTCGATGCGAATGCATTTGAGGTAGTCGACAATAGAAATTAGCACCCAAAACCGATGTGAATGATGATTGCCGCTATTGCAATTCTATTCCCAAAATGCATTTTGCATGCAACACACACTTTAAATCACTCCACATACATTTCGTAAAATAATCGATACGGTTTGGATGTTGCAACATTTCAACACTAATCCAAGCATTCAATTTGTAAGTCGAATTACATTAAATTAACATGACCAGTTTTGTACGCTTACAATGAAGGAATAATTTTGAAGAAAATTTGAAGAATTTCTAGTCACTTTGGTGCACGAAAAATATGAATCAATATTTTCACCTATCGACTAGGATTTAACTCATTTTTTCAACTGCTATCAAGATTTGCACGAACACATACATCTGAATGTTCATGAATCAATATTTAACGGAATGGTGCTGTTGGCGCTGTTGGTGTTTTAGTATGGTATTTTTCTTCGTTGGTCTCATGTCTGCACTGTTTCACAAACTCCTGTCGAATTTCACATACTCCGAGTTCAAAAACAATTCCCTTTGCGTGATTTATTGTTTATGCTTAAACAATTTGTGCATTTGGAATGTATTATTTTTTTAAACACTACACATTCCGCCAGCTGTTGCCATAGTATAGTATTTTTGAAATATCGTTTGACACTTTTTTCTATTGCATAAAAAAATATCGGTCAAAGTTTTACTTAAAATATAGCACATGTGCAAAGATGAAATGGAGAAACTAATTTTTCATGATTTGTTTAAATACATTTCAGATTTATGTATTATGAAATTTGTCTCTAAAAGTTTCTTATTTCATATTGTTTGATTAAGAACAAAATTAATTTGAGAATGGCCTCCGCAAAAACGGTCCGGATTCATATAATTTGATTGCGAAAAGATTGGAATGAATGCGGTTGACCGAAAATTTGTTGATTAATGAAACTAACCAAAAACAAAACGTCGTCGTCGCCAGAATGTCCCTTTTGAGAGGATAAATTTGTCAATTTGGATTGGATGGCCTTTGTGTATGCCCGGAATCAATAAAAGCCAAGCAATGTTCTTTATTGAAACGAACACAATTAAATGGGCGCTCAAAGTTTTAATTAACATATTTCCTATATAATCTCACTGCATATATCGTCCGAGCCCAATGTTTAAATAACAGTTCCCTTTCATTTCATTGGAATGCTTCCGGAGTGCTTCGTTTGTGACGCAAATGAAATTGGTACAAAAGAGGAGCAAAAAAATCAATTTTACCAAATAATCCGAGTAGACTACATTGGTATGATTGTCACGAACACATTAATTTCAAGTAGTCCATACTTCGACGATAAATTTGTCATTGATCAAGCTGCGAGAGAGAGAGAGAGAGAGAGAGGGGAGGAGAACATCGTATTTGTTCGAGTAATTATCGTTTTCTTCCATTCGAATGGAAAACCGAACTAGCAAAATTGTATTAGACACAAGAATGAGTGTTTGTGACAATTGTGGTTTCCGAATAACAAGATACTTTCCGTACTGATCATAAACCAGTGATGTGAAATTAAATGAAGCAAAACAATCAAACTACAAAGAAGACAACTAACAAAGATATAAATCATGATGTACAAACGTTTAACGTTTGGTTCAGTTAGTGCTAAAAATAGAGCTGTCGAGGTGGAATTCTAAAATTCGATTTTACACTGTAATCTGTTCGAATTCTTCTCATGTAATTTTTTCTTTGC